GAGAGGAGATATATATATATATATATATATATATATATATATATATATATATATATATATATATGTATATTTAATTCTAAGATTATTTCACTGTTTTGAAGCCATCAGAGATAATATTATCCTTTTATTTCTAAGTGTACTTTAGTGAGAAAAGTAACAGTGGCACACGGTTGAAGGAGAGTTCTAGCACAGTGGTTCTCACCTGTGGGTGCAAATCGAAATCACCTGGAGGAGCTTTGCCACTGAGTGATGTCTGGGTCCCCCGTTAGAGATTCTGGTTTAGTTGGTCTGGCAGATAGCCTGAGCATCAGGATTATTTTTATTGTGCAGCTAATCTTGAGAAGCACTGAGCTAGAAGTCAGTCTTTCATCAGAGGAACATCTTGATTCCCAGGCAATTTCTTAGTTAATTTGCACTGATTCAGGCCTCTCCCTCTCTCCATCTTAACTTTCCTCCTTTTTTCCTTATATTCTCTTTCTGCATTTGAGTGCAAGCTTTGAAGTCAGAAGGACCTGGCTCAAAAACCTAACTCCTTGGGCATGTTACTTGTCTAAGCCTCAGTTTCCTCATTTATAAAGTCAGGGTAATAATGCCCACTTTACCTGTGAGGATGAAGCGAGATAATACAAAATGCATAGGACCCTGGCTGGCATATAGGGAGCTCTCAGCAAGTGCGGTGTTAGAACCAAGCAGCTACCAGAGTGGACTTGGGAATCAGATATCTGAGAGTCATACACATACATAGTCATACACGTCACACATGTGCGTAATCTTGTACAATTAAGTCCTCTCTTCCTTCAGGTCCTCAAAAGTATAATAAAGTCTAGGGTTGTGTTGAGACAGTTCATTGAAATAATGGGGTTAAGCACTTAGTACCCTGCCTGGTAGGTGGTACCCTCTCAACAGACAATAGTTTCTATTGTAAGGCTCTCTTTCTTGTTTCATCTCCAGGACTCTCTTTATCTTAAGAGCAATCGGTTGGATTTCACACAATAGAATTTACTCTTTGGGAAGGATGTATTTAATATGTCCATCTCCCAGATTCTATTTAAAATTATATTAAAATATTTTCCATGTAGACAGTTTTCCCACTTTTTCATTTTTCTCTTTCCTCCAAGAACATGTGTTTCTCTTCTGAATATTGGCAGCACATGGGAGGAAACCCAAATATATTACCAAGGTATCAATGACCCTGTGGCCATTAATAATACAGTTTACACCTGAGAGAATTTTTTTTTGGTTGCCTGGGTCTTCATTGCTGCGCGCAGGCTTTCTCTAGTTGCGGCGAGCAGGGGCTACTCCTCATTGCGGTGCAGTGGCTTCTCTTATTGCAGAGCACAGGCTCTAGGTGCACGGGCTTCAGTAGTTGCAGCACGCCGGCCCAGTAGTTGCAGCACGCGGGCCCCAGAGCGCGTGGGCTTCAGTAGTTGAGGCTCAGGCTCAGTAGTTGTGGTGCACGGGCTTAGTTGCCCCATAGCATGTGGGATCGTCCCAGACCAGGGATCAAATCCGTGTCCCCTGCATTGGCAGACGGATTCTTAACCACTGCGCCACCAGCGAAGTCCTGAGAGAGAATTTTGATACACACTTGTGTTTGGGAAAAAACACCACCTATAAATAAGTACTCTGTTTCCTTTCAACGCACTGAAGCAGTCGGGATCTTTAATTCTTTTTCCTGCCCAAGTAGCTTTATGATGCTGGGGAGCCATGGTTTTGATTCAGCCATACTCTCAAAAGTGTATGTTTGTTTTTAGAAGTTTCTTTGAAAGGCTAGATATTCACGCTGAAAATTCTCTATGTGCCTTTTTTTGTTTTTTTTTTTTGTTTTGTTTGTTTTTTTTGCGGTACGCGGGCCTCTCACTGCTGTGGCCTCTCCCGCTGCGGAGCACAGGCTCCAGACGCGCATGCTCAGCGGCCATGGCTCACGGGCCCAGCCGCTCCGCAGCATGTGGGATCTTCCCGGACCGGGGCACGAACCCGTGTCCCCTACATCGACAGGCGGACTGTCAACCACTGCGCCACCAGGGAAGTCCTCTATGTGCTTTTGAACAGACCAAAGGGCATTATACTTAGGAGAGAAATTGTTTCTTTGTCTTCAGATGTTTGTCTCAACAAGTTTATCTTATGAACTAGAGAAAAGTCAATTAAAATAGTCATTAAAAAACAACTTAATTTCATTAGGCTATAACAGGCTTATATAGCCTGTTTCTTGACTTTTATTATTTTATTTTTGCCAAACAATCTATGCAGCATATCAAGCAAGTATTTTTACTTGCCAAGTGAATTCAGTGATGCACAATATGAACTGACTTGCTTTAGTTCATTTATAACCCAATAGTAGAAGCAAAAGAGCTGCATCTGGGCCTGCTGGCTCCAAACCCATGCTCTTTCTACCAGACTCCCCCTGCAGCCTGGTTTAGACTCATTCAAAAGTACTCATGATGTAACTCAGTTATTGCCTATTTGCCATTAAAAACAAAAGCCTCCTGCATATCAGAATTGTGTCATCTCCAGATTGACCGATAATTTACGTTTTATTACCTGTGTTTTGAAGTATACATATTGAGGGTCTTTTAAAGGAATCTTAACACCTTGGATTGAGTAAACCCCTTCATGCCCCAGATTGCAATAGCCCTACAGTATGATGCCTGTTTCCCATAGCTTTCTAGAATAGTTTAGTTATTAGTCAATAGTCTTTGAGTTACAAGTCAGAAAACCAGCTCAAACCATCTTAAGCAGAGAAGGGATTGATTGGCTCATGTAAGTGGGATGGTAGCTGTGTTCTAATAGAAGCTCAAATCATTGTTGCCAGGTTTCTTCTGCCCTTGCCTGTGTCCTGCCCATGCTGCTTCCTCCCCAGTCCCTCTTCGCTCCCTTTCCCTCTGCTTCCGTCCTACCTCCGTCTCTTGTCACAGCTTCTGGCTATGTGTTAGTTTAGGGCCCGCCTACTTCAGATGCCTTCTCCTTTGAAGACTGGTGATTATGGACACAGTAGACCCAGGCTTACGTCATAGCACACAAGCTACCGCTACTGTCAAAGGGAGAAAATATATCTTTCAGGTTTCATACATGAAAATGAATGGTGAATGAACTCAAATAAGAACTTGTGAGCAGCTTAGTTACTTGCCCACCCTTTTGTTCAGTCGTGGCAGGACAAGATGCTATGATTGTCAACCCAAGCAGAATGACTTGGCTCCGTGGGAAGAGCCAAAGAGAATATAGTGGGGAGAGTAGGTGTGCAGATGAGAACGGCACGTAGCCACTATGATATATGGCTTACCTTACACTTTGACTTAGACAATACTATAGTTTTTAATCTCGCCCAGGTGTAAAAGAGAGCATTAAAAGGCCTAGGTGGGTATTTTGTAGAAGGTAACATTAATGCTTTGTAGCAGTTATTGTTATATGTTTGATTATTTCTGTGTACTTCTGGGGGTTCATGGTCTGAGGTGGGCTTAGGGTTTATTTCCTATGCCTAATTGTCATGGCAGTTCTTCTCAAACTTGTTTGCTACTATCCTCTGAAAGCCAAGGAAAGTGAATTATATAACCAGGGGCATAGAAAGGCAAGCGAGCATCACATTTATTTGAGGACTCTCATGTTTTGTCTAAAACATTGATTCATATTTTGTATTATACTCCATAATTTTCCCATTTAAGTTTAATAAAAGATAAATTTTTTTTTTTTTTTTGCTGTACGCGGGCCTCTCACTGCTGTGGCCTCTCCCGTTGCGGAGCACAGGCTCCGGACGCGCAGGCTCAGCGGCCATGGCGCACGGGCCCAGCCGCTCCGCAGCATGTGGGATCTTCCCGGACCAGGGCATTGGCAGGCGGACTCTCAACCACTGCACCACCAGGGAAGCCCAATAAAAGATAAATTTAAATATTACTTCCTTTTCTCCTAAAGCAACATAAAATTGGAGAACTCGTTAATGAAGACAGTGAGAGCTAGGCATTGTTATGAATGAATCTACCCATGCCAAATGAAATTTTTTTTTAACATCTTTATTGGAGTATAATTGCTTTACAATGGTGTGTTAGTTTCTGCTTTATAACAAAGTGAATCAGTTATACATATACATATGTTCCCATATCTCTTCCCTCTTGCATCTCCCTCCCTCCCACCCTCCAAATGAAATTTTAAGGTATAAAGAACATTAATATTTCTGTTTAGTTTAGAATTCAGTTCTCCTTCCAAATGATAGACCATTTGTGAAAATATATCTTCTTAAAAAAAGTCAATTCCAAGATATTTCAATTTCTTATCTCTGTAGTTTGAGTTTATTCTCCACGGGCCGTGTGTGTGTGTGTGTGTGTGTGTGTGTGTGTGTGTGTGTGTGTGTTAAATGTCAATTGTATCTTACACTCTGATTCACAGAGGAAAATGTTCCCCTAACAAGTTTACTTAAACTTTTCCTAGGAGTCAGGTAACAAATGAATGAATGAATGAATAAACTACTAAACTACATTGTCATTCCAGGAAGATGTGCCATGTTCCTTTGATTTTGAGTAATCCAAGGTGAATAGTGCTGGTTGAGAAAAACAGACTTTTGGAATACTTTTTGGTTTAAAATCAGGATTTTTAACATCTTGCCTCACCTTTTAGGGAATTTAGACCTTGGACATTAGGCGTTTCTTGGTTATACTGAAAGGTCTCAGAGCACAGGGTTGGTGTTCTGCTAATTAATAGCTGTAACTTGATAGTAGTTACTTCTCTAAGCCTCAGTTTCTCATCTGAACCATGGAAATAATGATCGTGGCTAACTCACAGTGTTGGTGTGGGGTTTAAATGAAATGTAAAATTGATTGGTATGTGAAAAAATAATAAGTTTTTAAGTGTTGCTAACTTGTCTATTTACCTGTATTTAACTTTTCAAGTTAGAATTCCATGATTTTTCTTTGCTCTCTCTTTCTCAAATGAGTGCAATTAGACCATTTAGGTTCTCTAATGGGTTTCCTTTAATATTATGAGTTAACTAGAGAGTATATGTTATTAAAAACATAGTACATTGACTACATCCACACGTGAATTAAAGACTTACTGGGAGGTAGGAGCTGAAGTATAGTCATAATCAGTATGTTTCCTCTTTCTTAAAAGGAATTACGGCTCATCTCTCTTTGCCCAATGTGAAGCAATGGATAACGCGTGTCAGCAGGTTCTGTGGCTCTATGGAGAGGATCATCAGATAACTGAAGTTGGAACAATGAATCTTTTTCTTTACTGGATAAATGAAGATGGAGGTAATCCACTCAGATTTCAGCTCTTGGCTCTTTTTGAGTCATTTTCAGTGGGACTGGAAAGAAAAGAACTAGAACCTTAGAACAAGAGAATAAGTAACACGCTTGCAAAATCTAAGAAATTCTGTGCTTTTGCTGTCCAAGTAAACATGAGTTTAAGTTTACAGCATTTATAAAGATTTTGAGTTTTATTTTTGTTTTTTGGCTTTAGATGTACTTACTACTGAGATGTCAACTGAAGGAATTTATTTATTTATTTATTTTTGGCTGTGTTGGGTCTTCGTTGCTGTGTGCGGGCTTTCTGTAGTTGCAGTGAGCGGGGGCTACTCTTCGTTGCGGTGAGCGGGCCTCTCGTTGCGGTGGCTTCTCCTGCTGCAGAGCACAGCCTCTAGGTGCGCGGGCCTCAGCAGTTGTGGCACGTGGGCTCAGTAGCTGTGGCTCGCAGGCTCTAGAGTGCAGGCTCAGTAGTTGTGGCACACGGGCTTAGTTGCTCCGTGGCATGTGGGATCTTCCTGGACCAGGGCTCGAACCCGTGTCGCCTGCATTGGCAGGCAGATTCTTAACCACTGTGCCACCAGGTAAGTCCCAACTGAAGGAATTTAAATCTCCACAATTTGAAGATATGCTGCCTTATCCCCTTTACCATCTTATCATTTTTCCTATCTGAAATCCCTTGCATTTGGAGATGGGTCTCGGATCAATTCAGTGGTTATTTACCATATACTATGTATAAAATGCTGTAGTAATAAACACAGTCTACTGTTTCTACTGATACGAAATTGAGTGTACTCTCTTGTTGTAATTCATTGAACAATCATTGCCCTTTCTGCTTTTTTTTTTTTGCGGTACGCGGGCCTCTCACTGTTGTGGCCTCTGCTGTTGCAGAGCACAGGCTCAGCGGCCATGGCTCACGGGCCCAGCCGCTCCGTGGCTTGTGGGATCTTCCCGGACCGGGGCACGAACCCGTGCCCTTTCTGCATATTTTGACAATACATTAGAAGCCTTGCATATTTACTCTGGAGCTCAGTTTGAATGAAGAACACTATTTTTAAGGACAGATCAATCTATTTGGGTATTGTTTTTAGATTCTGGTTCATTTGAGACTATTAATATATGACTATAAAAATCAGTACTTCTTTGTTACCTTTAATATCCTGAATGCTCACTTTATCCCTCTTTGCAATTATTTTTTTTAATTAGTTGGCAGAGACCACAGCAGTTCGGTGATGTTTTGGCAAAGTCTATGGTATTAGATTAAATGGTATTTTTCCCAATAGTGGAGGGAAAAATACATATATATGCATTTATTTTCGTTAGAATTTTAATAGTCAAAAAATTTAAAAACATTTTTAGGCCTGTTTACATTCTTTAGGCTGTTCATTTCACAGTACTGAGTGCTGAGACTGGAAATGTAAAATAAGTTTCTAAATACTTGTGAAGTCTCGGGATTGGTTTTAATTCAAATAATAAATGAAATTTTAATTTTAAAGCAGCTATAGTAGCCTCTATTGCTCTTTTGTTATTTGGCTACAAATAGAGGAAAATGGTGATTCAAATGTGACTTCAGAGCTAATTTGAGCATTACTTGCAGAGTTATAAGATGAGCCTTATATTTCAGTCAGAGTTAGAATAAACAGAAGGTGTAGTGAGTACACCGTGTCCTGGGGTTGACCACTGGTAATCTTTAGCATATGAAAAGCCAGGTATAGGTCATGCTCATTCTTCCATACCTGCTGTTTGTACTTGACACTCTTGAAAAACAAAATTTGTACTGGAATATTTGTGATTTTTAAATTTGAGTTATTTCATATGACCTGTATCAAAAGCCGTGCTTGGGGCTTCCCTGGTGGCACAGTGGTTGAGAGTCCGCCTGTCGATGTAGGGGACACGGGTTCGTGCCCCGGTCTGGGAGGATCCCACATGCCGCGGAGCGGCTGGGCCTGTGAGCCATGGCCACTGAGACTGCACGTCCGGAGCCTGTGCTCCGCAACGGGAGAGGCCACAACAGTGAGAGGCCCGCGTACCGCAAAAAAAAAAAAAAAAAAAAGCCGTGCTTGAAAGTTGACAGCCAGTGTTGGACAGGCAGTATTACTTAGGAGATAATAAATTGATTCAACTCATTCTTTCCACTTGCCCACTGCCATCCCCACCCCCCAGAAAACACATACAACCCCAAACAAAACCAGTTACATCATACAGAAGTGGCACCATCCTTATTTATGGATGGGAGGTGTCAGGATTTAAGCACAGTCTGAATCAGAGCTACATGATTTAACCAGAAACACCAGAAACTGTCCTGGTGAAAAATGACCCGTTATGCAAACAGTAATCATGAACCACTTGCACCATGGCTTTTAAAAGTCAGAGGAGAAATGAATGAATTTCTCTCTGGCTCTTATAAAATATACAAGACCTTAAGAGTTACTCTTCAGGTTATGGTTGCCTGAGATAACTTTAGTTTTAATGTGAAGATCCTCCGTCAATTTGAGGCTGTTCACCTGCCAGATCAGATAAAATTTGAAGGAAGGAGAAAGGAAATGGAATAAATGTTTGAACAGTACTCTGAGAAGTAAGTAGAAAATCAGGAATAACCTTTGGGCTTAAAAAAAACAAAAGACATTGAAGCAACTCCCGTAACTTTGATTTACACCATGTGGCTTTAGGAAAATACAAAGAATAATGTGTTGAAAATCAGAAAAATATTGATTTTCCTCCCCCCTCCCCAACTTTACCAAAAGCAGAGTTCTTCCCATGAGCACCCACTCTCACTGCTCCTTTGGGACAAGGTGGCTGCCACAGGGCTGTGCACTATTTTGTGGCACTTGGCCTGAAACTCATGTGGTTTTTGGTTTTGTTTGTCTTTGTTTTTGTTTTTGGAGCAGAGAAAGGTTTATTGCAAGGCCGTGCAAGGAGGTGAGATGGCTCATGCCCTGAAAAGCCTCGAGCTCTCATTTTTGCTTTTAAATTGAAGTATAGCTGATTTACAATGTTGTGTTAGTTTCAGGTGTACAACAAAGTGATTCAGTTGTATATACATATGTATGTGTGTGTGTGTGTGTGTGTGTGTGTATTCTTTTTCAGATTCTTTCTCCTTATAGCTTATTACAGAATACCGAGTATAGTTCCTTGGGCTATACAGTAGTAGGTCCTTGTTGGTTATCTATTCATGTGGGTTTTGATTCCAGTAACAGCAGCCCTGGTTGTAAGATCGCACGGCCCCGTATTCTCCTTTTTTATTCCGTTGATGAGTAATTTAACACACACACTTGCTATTCACTGTTGAGAAAACAGTTTTATCTTGTACCAGACACTGGAGCTACCTTGAGAGTAAGACTCAGTTGTTGTGGTTGAGTTCACAGTTGGTTTTGGGAGGCATCTACACCGCCTCTGCTTGGAGCACTCTTCCTGCGTGGCTGCTTGCCTCCCTCCTTCAAGTCTTTGCCACATACCCCATTCTCAGAAAGGCTTTCCCTGGATTCCTTAATACAAATCTTAAACTCTCTCCCCCAGCACTCCCCATCGCCTTCCCCGTTTTTTGCCTCCATCATCTGACATACAATTTAATATAATTGTTTGCCTCTGCTTGTTAGAAAGTAAGCAAGGAGTTATATCGGTTTGGTTCACTGCTGTATCCCTAGTGCTTAGAACAGCCAACGGCACTGATACTGATAGACACTCAGTGTATATTGTTGAACGAATGAAGAATTGTGCTGATGGTGTTTGAGGTATTCCTGGTTCCCATTAGTGCTTGAATTTGGGAAGTCACAGATGAATCCAGCTGTTATTATTTCTAAATCCTTCATCTCCCCAAAATGATTTCTCTGTCAAGAACAAGCTTCATTCGTAGGCTCACTTTTCCTCCTGTTGAGCAATCTGGAGCCCGTTTTGGCTCTTGTAAGCATGTTTGTGGTTGCAGAGGAAAATGAATATTTCTCACCCAAATGTTGTCATGTCATCATGTCTGTCTGGCAACCAGAGAAGCAGATGTTCTGTTCCTTGACCTCAAGCTAGTGGTTACAGTTTTGGGTGTTAAATACATTTCACAAAACTGCATTTGCACATGAGGGGCCGCTGTTTTCATTTAACTTTATGCCGTCTTAGAGCTCAGCAAGTATTAGGAATGGTCCCGTTTGGGAACACTAGAAGTGTTTGTCTATATGTGTGCAGTGTGTATGCATACGTGTACACACATATAGATCTATACATTTATACATCCGGCGAGCTTGCTATTGCAAAACACATGTTTATTTTGAGACAGACACTTCTAAACAAGACAGAAAGTAGCCCTAAGAACAAATTTTCTTCTTTTGAGAAGTGATTTTCAGCAGATAATGTTTAGAAACAAAATTCAAAGAAATCATACTGCTGTATCCTAGCAAAAAGGATTATTCATTTATTTTCTTATTCAAAAACATTTATTACATACCACTCGGGGCCAGGCACATTGCTGAGGGGACACAGGAATGAACAGAAGAGTTTTGGTCTTCCAGAGAGCTGGGTTGTCGAGGATGTCTGATGTGGCCACAGTGGAGTGGGTGAGCCCAGACCACAGTTTACGAAAGAAAGGGCGGTGGCCACAGTGTTGGGAGACTTAGGCTCTGGTCCCGACTGGTCCCCAGCGTCACCAACCTTGGCAAGTCACTTATGTTTTTAGGGCCTCAGTTTATCCTTCTATAAAATAAGGATTGCACTAGGTGATTTCTAAAGTCTTTTTTGCCTGCATCAAATGGCTTTGGAGCGCAAAGGCTGATTTCTACACTGCTTTAGCTACCCAGTGATCCTTCCCAGCATCCCTTGTGAATTCCTCTGCAGACACATGATGGGCAACCCATCATCTGTTACAAGGCTCAACGTGTATATAAAGTGATGGTTGAAGGTTTGAATTTCTCACTAGATTCAGCTTCCTGGGTGCCAGAGGTGAGGAGGAGGGCGGATGTTGAGCACCAGAGACATCCTTCTGTAAGGAGGCTTTGTGGCTGGCGGACCACACTGACTCCTGCAGACAGGTCGTAATGCCAGCCCTCGCCACGGTTGGGAGTGTCTGCGGTCATTCTCAGAGTAGACCAGTGTCTGGGCCTTGGGTCTGTGAGTCACCCGTGGAGTGTTATTTTGGTTTTTTTGGATTTCTTTTTTTCCTTCTTTTTTTTTTTTAATTTATTTATTTAGTTTTGGCTGCATTGGGTCTTGTTGCTGCGTGCAGGCTTTCTCTAGTTGTGGCGAGTGGGGGCTACTCTTTGTTGTGGTGCGCAGGTTTCTCACTGCCGTGGCTTCTCTTGTTGCAGAGCACGGGCTCTAGGCTTGCGGGCTCAGTAGTCGTGATTTGCAGGCTCTAGAGCGCAGGCTCAGTAGTTGTGGCTCACGGGCTTAGTTGCTCTGCGGCATGTGAGATCTTCCCGGACCAGGGCTCGAACCCGTGTCCCCTACATTGACAGGCGGGTTCTTAACCACTGTACCACCAGGGAAGCCCCTTCTTTCTTTATTATTTCTTTGTTAGCCATATACATGCCTGAGCCCACTCTGAGCCCATTACATCTGAATCTCAGAGGGTGGAGTCAACATCTCCATATTTGATGTGGATACTTCACCAGGCTTGAAAATCACTCTGGATAGACTTGTCAAAGGCCAGTGTGGGAGCAGTGATGGCCTGAGGGGGCACGGACACCTCTTAGGGCTGGGTTTCTCCACAGTATTCATAGAAGGTTTGGTAATGCCCAGTGTTTCTGAGTAAGGGTCTATCTACATTATCCTAATTACTAACCAGCTTTAATCCACTGAGGTAAATTTTGACTTTGGAATGTTCCTCTTAAGAGTATTTTATAACTCTTACTGTTTGTTAGTGGGAAGCCATCTCATTTTTCACAGGTTAAGGATAAATTGAAGATGGTAGGATGACTGATTTCCTTTCTTGTTCCTTTTTTTTTAAAAAAACATAAGGATCTACCTGAAGTATGAGTTGATTTGGAAAATTTGACAATGCAGAACAGTGACCTCCTTTTCATGTTTATCACCAGCAAAATTGCAAGAAACTTTTTTTTTTTAATGGGTATTGATAAAAGGCATGGCTAATAAAGTTTGAAACGATTCCAATTTCTAATTGACAGAGGAAGAACTGGCAACTCCTCCGCTAGATGGCATCATTCTTCCAGGAGTGACAAGGCAGAGCATCCTGGACCTGGCACACAAGTGGGTGGGTGCCTTTGACATGAACCACTTTTATAAGCATGGAACAAAAAGTAATCCAAAAAAGTCCAGCTTAGTATTGAAATAATATCCTGTAGTTCCAACCAGTGCTGTCTAATCTTTAATCTTAACTTGAGTGAAAAGAACTCTTCTAGAAGGACTGTCTTGGTGAGACTATCAAGTAAGTATTGTTTGTAGGGAGGGCAGGCAGAAACCAGTTCAGCAGGTCGTCCTAGTGCAGAAGTATTCTAGTGCTAGTCTCAGGCTTTATACCAGGTGTCTCCTACCGACTCATCTGGTTTATCCTCCGAGGGCTTCCTTTTCGCCAGCCTTTAACTTTTCAAGTCTGAGTGTGTTGTTTCCAAATGGCAGTGGTACGTAGTCCTTCCCTTCCTCTGTTTATTCCAGTGTAACCGTGCTAGAAGTTAAAGAATTTTACTGACATATAAATGCTTTCTAACATGACAGTATTAGTTTCGCGGTCTTCTTTCTCCCTCCTTCCTGCCCCCTGTCCTCCCAAATACACATACATGCTTATTTTAACATCTAAACATTCAAGCAAATGTAAAGTTGTTTTCAGTAGCCTTTCTGATTCAAGTGACACAGGCACGTGTGTTAAACCATTCGGTGTTGGAAGTGACTTAGCATATTCAAGATGAATATTGAATGAGTTGATTAATCTGGCAAAGGTTCCTGGATGGGACTTTTGACCCATGTATTGAAATGGTCTCCAAGGGACAAGAAAAGGCTTTGAGCAGACTGTGGTGAAACAGTGCTAATAGGACAAATGTTTAGAAACACACACGTCTACGAGAGTACAGTTTCTCTGGAAAGGGCTTTGGAAATAGAGAAAACGTGCTATAAATAATTCTCAAAATCCTGAAGTAGACAAGACCCAACTGCCGCATGCTGGCTGGCGCATTGGGCATGACATTTACAAACTGTTGGTATAATTTCAAACAGCTTGCCCTGTCCTAATTGTGTTTTCAATTGGAAAGATGTATTTTCCAAGCTCAGTGATTTTTGTTTTATTAAAGAAAAAAATCAACCAAGTACAGAAGGTTTGATGAGAAGTTCCAAGTGGAAATTCCCCCACGCTAATGATTTGCTAGCGTGAAAAATAGGTTATTATAGAGGAAGTTTCTTCCTGACTCCTTAGCTGTAATTTATTTTTAAAACTGTGAGACACAAATGCCAAGAGGCCCGCGGGGGGTTACCACTGTTTGCCAGGTAGGGGAAATTGTCCAAAAATAAGTGAGGGTGAGCAGAGTAAAAAGAATTCTGTTTATGTACAAGAGATTTTTTTTTTCTTTTCTTTTCTTTTCCACAACGCAGAACTCAGCTTGTTCTCACTTGGCTGATTTGCTGGAATTTATTTATTTATTTATTTGCCTTTGTACAACTTAATTGCAATCGCAGACTGAGATAGGTTGAAACTTACAAAAAGCCATATTTCTGTTGCAGGCATATTTCCCTACCCTTCCAAATATACTTACAGCATGATGCATTCTTCTTCTAATGTTTTGAATCTTTCCAAGGGCTGTGATTTCCATTTTTATCTATTGTGGATTTGTAGATTTTAAAAAATACTCTCATCTTATTTTAAAAAAATGGATTCATTCGTTGTTGCCCTTAATTCAAATAGCCTCCTGACAAGCTTTGAACTTTAACCACTAACATAGGAGAATGAGAGTTAAACAGATTAAAGAATGAGTATTAAACAGATAGTTTAAACATAGCTTAAAAGCATCAGATTTTTTTTCCACTTCCTATCCTTGAGCAAATAAATAGTTCAGCTGAAGTCGATGAGCGGGTATACCCGTAATTCTATGATTAAACTCAACCTAATACAGCACCAGAGAGAAGGAAGAGGATTGCTGCTGTGAAGTCGACTGAATCAGTGAATTTAGGAAGAAAAAATATACAATGTAATTTCTCAAATAAAGTCCAAATACACTATGTTTTAAAGTAATGAAATGTTTCAGATATTTAAATTCAGTCTCTGTTTCTACTCCATAAAAGAAACAGTAGAAAGAGGGCCACATTTGGAGCCAGTCATTATCAGACCTGAGTTCAAATCCAGTCTCTGCCACTTACTAGCTGTGTGGCCTTCAGGGTGTCACTCAGCCTCCTTGAACTTTAATTTCCTCATCTGTACAATGGGGATGATATTACCCACCTTAAAAATTAGAGAACGTGGCATGTGGTGGATGCTCGATAAATGGTGGCTATAATTATTAATATTAGATAATAATATATTTTCTCTTATGATAAATAGGGTTTAGAATACACATTAAGTAGCACTTGGGGTGCATCAACTTGTGAGACTTTGGCCACGATAACAAATAAAAGGTAGAAAAGCAGGAATGTATTAAAACATACCATGTACTCTGTCATGCTGATCTTACATTTTCTATTCTCATCATCTCATTTAAAGATGCTGTGACCTTAGAGTAGGTTGCTTAGCATCTCAGTGTGTTTCTCAATAAGATGGTGTCGATCTCTCCAGCTTTCCCTCTAAGGACAATTATGACATTATCTGAGTTCAGTCAGAATGTAAAGTAGAATGGTCCATACCACCGGGCATTTTTTTATATGCCTTTTCCTTAAAAATATATTTATTTTTATTTCTATCCCAAACAGGGAGAATTTAAGGTGTCAGAGAGGTACCTCACCATGGACGACCTGAACACAGCCGTGGAGGAGAACCGCGTGAGGGAGATGTTTGGTTCTGGTACCGCCTGTGTTGTTTGCCCAGTTTCGAATATACTGTACAAGGGTGAGGTAAGACACTGTTTCTTCACTTCCTATCATTTTCAAACATTTGCCTGTAATTTAATTCTTTAAATATGTGGACAGAGTGCTAGTTGGACCCAGGATGCGAAGGATTTTTTAAATAACTTAGCGTTCTGTTAACTGTGGCAGTTTGTCCCGATGAACTTTGTTAGCAAATGACACATTCATCTTTCCAGTGGTTTCCTGTAAACTCCAACAGTTTTGTCCTTCGTTATCATACCTGCCTTACATCAGTTTAGGGATTGGAGATGTACCAATAGACCTACACTCATTTCTTTCTATCATCTCACTAAGGAAGGTTTTACAACTAAGTGAAATTTCAGTCTCTGGTTTCCAAAAGTACTTCTGAACTACTGGAGTAGGAATAGCAAATTATTAAAGAAAACTCATTTGAATGATCACCTCCTACATTTTTCATCTTCATCATTATTAATTAGACCACTTCATAAAAAATTTTCATTTGGCAAACCTCATGGCATTTACTAAAATCTTTCAGAAGGAATTCAAGCATTTAGTTAGAAGAAATTTCCTCCTAGTAAATTAATCTTGTTTATATGTGCCGTACATCCATTTTCTTGTTAGTTTTTTTACTTTCCTCTTTACAACACAGCTCCAGTACTTATGATTAACATCGTCATCTAACTTCATAATTCAGAGGCATGTGGGCATTATTTTTATAATGTGAATGAATTGGCTTAAATTACTCATAATAAATACAAATTCTATTGTTATTTTGGGTTTTTGTGTTTTTTTGGCTGCATTGGGTCTTTGTTGCTGCGCGTGTGCTTTCTCTTTTTGTGGCGAGTGGGTTCTCATTGCAGTGGCTTCTCTTGTTAAAGAGCTCGGGCTCTAGGCCCGTGGGCTTCAGTAGCTGTGGCACACAGGCTCAGTAGCTGTGGCTCGTGGGCTCTAGAGCACAGGCTCAGTCGTTGTGGTGCACGGGCTTAGCTGCTCCGTGGCATGGGATCTTCCCAGACCAGGGCTCAAACCTGTGTCCCCTGCATTGGCAGGCGGATTCTTAACCAGTGTGCCACCAGGGAAGTCCCTTCTATTGGTCTTTTTCCCTCCCACCCTCCCTATCTCACCCTTCTAGCTGGTCACAAAGCACCGAGCTGATCTCCCTGTGCTATGCAACTGCTTCCCACTAGCCATCCATTTTACATGCCACTGTCTCACTTCGTCCCAGCTTACCCTTCCCCCTCCCCGTGTCCTCAAGTCCATTCTCTAGTAGGTCTGCGTCTTTATTCCCGTCTTGCCCCTAGATTCTTCATGACCTTTTTTTTTTTTTTTTAAGATTCCATATATATGTGTTAGCATATGGTATTTGTTTTTCTCTTTCTGACTTACTTTACTCTGTAGGACAGACTCTAGGTCCATCCACCTAACTACAAGTAACTCGATTTCATTTCTTTTTATGGCTGAGTAATGTTCCATTGTATATATGTGCCACATCTTCTTTATCCATTCATCTGTCAGTGGACACTTAGGTTGCACCCATGTCCTGGCTTTTGTAAATAGTGTCTCAGTGAATATTGGGGTGCATGTGTCTTTTTGAATTATGGTTTTCTCTGGGTATATGCCCAGTAGTGGGATTGCTGTATCATAACGTAGCTCTATTCTTAGTTTTTTTAAGGAACCTCTATACTGTTCTCCATAGTGACGGTATCAATTTACATTCCCACAAACAGTGCAAGAGGGTTCCCTTTTCTCCACACCCTCTCCAGCATTTATTGTTTGTAGATTTTTTGATGATGGCCATTCTGACTGGTGTGAGGTGATACCTCAATGTAGTTTTGACTTGCATTTCTGTAGTGATTAGTGATGTTGAGCATCCTTTCATGTGTTTGTTGGCCATCTGTATATCTTCTTTGGAGAAATGTCTATTTAGGTCTTCTGCCCATTTTTGGATTGGGTTCTTTGTCTTTTTGATGTTGAGCTGCATGAGCTGCTTGTATATTTTGGAGATTAATCCTTTGTCAATTGCTTCGTTTGCAAATATTTTCTCCCATTCTGAGGGTTGTCTTTTCATCTTGTTTATGGTTTCCTTTGCTGTGCAAAAGCTTTTAAGTTTCATTAGGTCCCATTTGTTTATTTTTGTTTCTATTTCCATTTCTCTAGGAGGTGGGTCAAAAAGGATCTTGCTGTGATTTATGTCATAGAGTGTTCTGCCTATGTTTTCCTCTAAGAGTTTTATAGTGTCTGGCCTTACATTTAGGTCTTTAATCCATTTTGAGTTTATTTTTGTGTATGGTGTTAGGGAGTGTTCTAATTTCATTCTTATACATGTAGCTGTCCAATTTTCTCAGCACCACTTATTAAAGAGGCTGTTTTTTCTCCATTGTATATTCTTGCCTCCTTTATCAAAGATAAGGTGACCATATGTGCATGGGTTTATCTCTATTCTATTGGGGTTTTTTTTTTTTTTTTTTGCGGTACGCGGGCCTCTCACTGTTGTGGCCTCTCCCGTTGCGGAGCACAGGCTCTGGACGCGCAGGCTCAGCGGCCATGGCTCATGGGCCCAGCCGCTCAGCGGCATGTGGGATCCTCCTGGACCAGGGCACAAACCCGTGTCCCCTGCACTGGCAGGTGGACTCTCAACCACTGTGCCACCATGGAAGCCCCTATTCTATAGGTTTTTAAATTCAACATTATAATTATTTTTTCCTCAGCTGGGTGGATTGATTTTTTTTTTCCTGCTAATTTTAATGGTGGTTGCTTCATTGCTTGAGATTTTCAAACTTGGCTCCTGACATAATTCCATCTACAGATTGATTTTTCAAGGGAGATGAATTATTCTATCATATATGAATGCTTATACTGATTATAAAGCTACTGTTTCACATTTTACTATGGTAGTATCTAGGTAATATATTATCAGTCCACTTTTTAAATGAACTAAAGTTGTCATTAGGTCAGATTTTTAAAGTCCAGTTATTACTTCTCTAGAAGTAAGTTAGTAAAGTTTAATACATTTTTATGGTTTTGTTTTAGGTAGCCATTCAGAGCCAAAAGGCACATCGAATTATCCTATTACCCTAAAGGGCATAATAAGAAAAGTAAGAGTACGGACTCTCTACTAAAATCAAACTATCAAAAGCCTGCAAGCCAGCAAGGCATGAATGGGCGTGACTCAAAGTATAAATCAGGGCACATAAAATCTCTGTGCCCTGAATGTAACCATGCTGTCCAACTTCGTGGAATTTGTGGCCCCTGGAAGTCTGGCTTAGAACAGACAGATTTGGCAGCCCCTTTTGTGAAGATATGGACGTGCTTCGATTTATGTCCCTGAAATGACTTGCTTTAATTTGCGTGATTTGCGGCTCACTGTCTTTTGAGGTCTCATTCCCTGCCAAGAGCGTTAGATGTGGAGGTTAATCATTCATCCTCATAGATTCTCAGGATGCTGGAAGACGTAGGGTTCTTTAAGTTTAGCCCCTATTCTAGGTACCCCTGCTTCTCATGGTTCCTCACATCAGCCTGAAGACTGGCATATAAACCAGTTATGCCCTGAAATCAGTTGGTAGGAAACGAACAACCTATCACCGGCTAGTTCATTTTTATTCAAATTCAGAATAGAAAAGAGTCTTTGGCATAAGGAGTTAGCATCCATAATGAGGTTACCATAGTGCCATTCCTTATTTCGGTAAAATTGCTGAGTTTCTTACTTGTTGTTACTGTGTACATGAATATCCTCAAATGATTTTGTGTCTGGTTTTCTTTCATAGACTATACACATCCCAACTATGGAGAATGGGCCTAAGCTTGCAAGCCGCATCTTGGACAAATTGACTGATATTCAGGTAAGGGCTTCTATTTTTAAAATGCTGTCTTTTTTTCATTCAAAGCCTAGAACCAAATCATACTTCAGTGGAGAGAAGAGAGTAAGTGCTACCATCTGAGGTCAACAAATTAAATTTAAGGAAGATGTTCCCAATAGTATGTGTGGACATGAGCAAAGCAGAAATGAGAAAAAAGATACACAGTTTAAAAAAAAAAAAAAAGGAAGGAAAGAAGGGGGAAAAATATATATATATAGTCAGGGACTCAATTACTTAACATTTTTAAAAAGTATATAAATTTTGATAACACTTAAAAATCTCATGAAAAGTATAACAGACTTCTTAAAAAAGAAAAGACTTTAAAGTAGAAGAAAGCACAGAACAAAACTAGTATTACCTGTGATTACATCACAGATAAAATCACTTAACTTTTGATATCTCAACTTTCAGTATTTTATAAGCACTCAGTGTATTTTTAGATAGATATTTTTCTGACAGTGGGATCGTACGTAATTTTGTTAGCCTGTTTTTTTTCAATTAATAAATCATTTGCTTTTTCGTATCAATAAATTTTAAAATTCTACATATAAAGTTTAATTAAATTCCACTATGTTGATATACCGTAATTTTTAAAGAAATCTTATTGAACATTTAAGTTGTTGGAAGTTCTTTCACTATTATAAACAGTGCATCCTTGATTTTTTCCTTAGGATAAATTCCTGGGATTGTAATTATCAGGTCAAAGAGTGTGCACACCTATTTTTTAATACTGCTAACTTTGTTTTGCCTATTTTTTCTGAGCAACAATTTACAGTAATGTCATCAGGCAGTTAAGCATCTTTCTAGGTAGACATATCATATACCAGGTAAACCTGGGTCACCTATAAAAGATATTGTTCTAAAGTTTGCTGAGCCCGGATGCCATCGTTGCCAGTCAGTGAAAATACCCGAGGGAGCTGAGATTCATATTGAAATGTGAAATAAAGTTTGATAGATTGGGTGACATCAAATGGTGTGGGGTCTTAAAAAGTAAGCAAAAATGTAAAGTTGGTTGGGAAAGCAGCAGGTCCCTACAGAGAACTTTGGATGAAAATGCTATTTTTTGAAGACTTAGCCACTTTTATGCAAAATTTATAGCATTAAAAGAAAAGAATTATTGTGCTTTTAGAACCAATGAGTTGTCCTACACTCTTCAATAGAAGTGTTCTATAGGAATTTTCTGTAAGCTAAATAAAGGAATATCTTAACATTGAAGACTTAAAATTTATTCAGAGTTGGTTTCTGCATAGAACCAATCCAAAGTAATTCGAAGAAATTTAATAAAAATTTCTGCATGGATGGTTCATGTATTTTTATTTTTAGAGTTGTCTGGGTAAGATTACAGAAGCCAGGAATGTAGGTGAGGGAAGTCAATGCTTTTGATTCATTCATTCAACAGATACATAGTATTGAGCACAAACTGTGCCAGAGGCAGTTCCAGGTGCTGGTGACAGAGTAGTGGAAAAAGTGACCGAAAAACTGGAGAGGTCAAAGCACACTGATATAGATGAAAGACAGATTTATTCAATTTAAATGTGAGACCATATCAAAAGGTTTAAAAATAAAAGTTATATATGAAGCAGAAAATGAGAAGAAATAGACCATTTTCCTCTTACCTGTGTATATGCTCTATATAACTTGGTGCTTGTGGCCAAGAAGTTAATACTCTAGGTAGTAAAGTATAAATGGTAGTAACACTAAAAACTAATGATACGTTCAGAGCTCCACACTGAACAAAGAAACAAGGGGATACATGAGATAATACAAGGATTCTGAATTAAACTACAAACCAGAAGCACCAAATCTGCTCCAAATCGTTAAGTAACAAAGGACCATCCATTTGGAATCTAAGACCACCTCTTTCTTCTTCTTCAGTTATTTTGTGCCTGTGGGCATGGAACCTACAGTTTCGAAATTACTCTCTTACAAGCTGGCAAATTGGTGCTGTCAGCCAAGCTACTAAATTGTCTGTTTCTCTCCAAGAAAAATAATTGAAGTATAATTATTGAGGAAAAAGCGTAGAATTGCATCATGTTTTACATTTGATCTCTTTGACATTGCATGGAAACGTGATGTTTCCTCCAAAGTGCTCTGGTGAATTGAAGAAGAGAACAACAATAACCAAGAAACCTCAAGGTTCCTACAGTGTGACCTAGAGGGGAAGATACCTTCTTAACACATCTGATTTTTATTGGACTTGTGTACTTCTGTATACAATAAGAACCTCTGAGGTTGAGTGTTCATCCCATTTGGCTAATTATCCACATAGTTCCCTGGATCTTAGATTGCCCTACAAATACCTCTTAGGAGGGGGACATTTCAGATGGCAGGATTCTTTTGTTTTTGTTTTAAATAAGTTTGTTTGTTTGTTTATTTGTGGTTGTTTTGGGTCTTCGTTGCTGCACTTGGGCTTTCCTTAGTTGCGGCGAGCCGGGGGCTACTCTTCATTGTGGTGCGCAGGCTTCTCATTGCGGTGGCTTCTCTTCTTGTGGAGCACAGGCTCTAGGCGCGGGGCCTTCAGTAGTTGTGGCACGCGGGCTCTAGAGCGCAGGCTCAGTAGTTGTGGCAGACGGGCTTAGTTGCTCTGCGGCGTGTGGGATCTTCCTGGACTAGGGCTCGAACCTGTGTCCCCTGCATTGGCAGGCAGATTCTTAACCACTGTGCCACCAGGGAAGTCCTGTTTTTCTTTTTATTTCTTCCTTTTTTTTTTAATGCAACAAAGAAAAACACTTCTGTGTTCATACTTAACCAAACTTGAACTTGGAGAACATCTCCACATTGCCCATGTTTCCCCTCTCTCCCATTGCTCTTTGCTATTCCAGTTACCATCATCTTCACCTTTGCCGCTGCCATTAGGGGTCTTCTCTGTCGTCCAATATGCTCTGCTCTCTGCTGCTTCCTTTCTGCCTTTCTGTATCTTCTACAGTTTTCCCACTTGATAAGGTGTTGGTTATCCTTCGAGACACATCTCCTTTAGGAATCTTTTCAGTCTCTTGAACAGCGTCCCTTTCCCCCAGTACAAGCACATATTCACCCACTTAAGTGCTGCTTCATCCTCCAGCTTCCATGGCCCCTGGGATGATCACATACGACCGGTTTTTTTTTTTAATGGGATGACATTTATTCCTTTTCCAAATGTTACAGTAAAACCAGGTGGAAGAGAATGGTTTTAGCAGTTAGGAAAAAAAAAATTACAAATTTGGGGTTTGGCCATTAAGTTATTTACAACAATGGGAGGGGGAAGAAAAAAGACAAGAAGTTGTTTCACATCACATACCTCCCCTCGACCCCAAAGCTTAATACTTGCTTACCAAGTCAAAAAAGAGACACAGTTGATTCACAAGCTGGAGGTTTGAACTCGAGTAAGACATTTATGAAAACCTACACAGGGGCAGTGTCCTCCCCAGCCCAGGGGCCACTAGGCACAACACGAGACTAAAAACTCAACAGGGGAAGGCTGGCCACTCAGGGTTTGGGAGTATAGCCACCCCTACGTGGGGCTCAGGGATTTGGGGAATAAACAACACCTACTTGGAAAAGAATTGGGGAAGAAAACCAGCAACTGCCTTCTGCATGGGTGGGGACAGGGAAGGAGGCAGGGGCAGGAGCATTTCACATCACTAACCCAACTTGGGAAACTGCAAGGGACCATCTTCAACTGGCCTTAAGGGGAAGACCAGCTGGATGATGGGAGAATCCACAGGAGGGAGAAGAGGAAAGGGAACGTGGTGAGGGGGCAACAGCCCCTTCCTTTCTGGGCACAGGAAGGCAGCCAGGGCACCAGGTCCAGGCAGTGACCACAAGGACAGCGCAGTTTTCTGCAGCTTAGAGACCACCCACCTGCCCTCACCCGGCTACTCATTCAGCCCGCCCTCTGGTGTAGGGCCCCCAGCGGTGGATGGCTGTGCGCCCGGGCCCTGCACCAGCCTCTCCCCTGTGGCCTGGGGCTCCTGGCTCTTGGGTGGCGGCAGCCTTCCCTCCCTGGGCGGTGCCTCCCTCGCCGCAGGCACCGACCCCCCTGCTCCTGCCCTTCCTCTGTGGGTGACGGGGCAGACGGATGCCCCCTGCCCCCTCCCTCCGATTTCTCTTGAAGGCCAGGCCGCTCAATTTGAAAGGTTTCTTGAAAGATATTTCTTCTTCTTGGGGGTCTCCTTGGGCGGGACCTCCCCCTTGGCCTCAGCGCCCTGGCTAGGGGGGTGCCGGCTCCATGGCATCGCCAGTGGCCCCGGCTGCCTCCTCTGTTCCATTCACGGGGGGCGACTCCCTTCACCTTTGGGGGTGAGTCTGCATGGCTTTTCGCGTGGCCGTCCTCCGGTCCGCTGACCTGAGCGGGGGTAAGCGCCGGCTGCCTCCTCTCCGTTCCCGTCGCCGCGGGGAGCCTTGGAGCTCTGGCTGCCCGTGAGCTGCCCGGGGTTCGAGCCGCAGTGGATCTTATCGATCGGTCCGGGTGGGCCTGGCCAGCAGGAGGGATGGCGCCTGAGGGGGAGGGTTGGCGGAGGAGACTGAGCTGCAGCTCCGCTCCGCGCCGGGATGCCCCACATATGACCTTTATATTATGTTCTAATTAGTCACACACTTATCTTTGTTCTGTGGTTGTCTGAGGGTGGGCATTGTTTTATTCTCTTTTGGTAAACCTAGTATTAGGTACAGGGCCTGGGCCATAGTACACACTCAGTAATGTTTCTTAAATAAAGGAATGAATGGGTGATTGACACACCAAGCAAGTACTAAAGAGTAAAGCCTTTTGCATATTAACACATTCTGAGAAGAGATGGGAGGAAGGTCTTGAATAACGTCAAATTATTTTTCAAAAAAACCTTCAGAGAATCTGATTTAGGTCTTTTCAAAGTGAGATACACATCAACTGCTGTCAAGATCAGATAAAAGCTGGAACCCGGGTCTTCAATATCCGGGTAGCATGTCTGACTAACTAGCAGTGCTGCTATTACCATTTCAGAAAGTGGGAGGAGTGATTGCCAAGACCCAGAGGTGGACATCTTCAACAGTTTAAAATAAGGGAAGCTGAATGGGATAGAAGGAGGATCTGTGTTGATTGCACGTCACCAGATAGAATTTCAAAAATCTGTTTTCCCACCAGTGGCTACAACTTTGTAAGAATAAATGGCCATTAGTTGTTACTGGATTTTTCTTGTTTTCAGTGGAACAGCATGATGACTTTAGTTTTGGAAGTTAAGAGTCCCTCCCCTTTCGTGTGCAGACTTGGTAAACATTCCAGATTGCCTTGATGGCTCAGTCCCTTGACCAGCTTCCCAGCCCCTCCTTGTTCCCTAGTCCACACTTCTCCCCTTGTTACGGGATCACGGAACTTTGCATGGCCATCGAGTGCGGTTTAGAGCCAGGATGGCGAAGTGCTACCTGGTGCGCAGTGCTGGTTATATTTTTTCTGGCCTTGTGGAGAGTAAGTACCTGATGTGAAGATTCACCTTTTATGTTGCTAAGAATTTTCTGCTGAATGTAGAAAGTATTTTAGCGAAGGCCTTGTAAAATTTGCCATACATGCATTGAATGCAAATAATAAGCTTGTCGTTAGTCATGTTTTAGTTCAGTGTTCTAATTGGAATTGATGAAAAGATAAAAATTCTGCGCATCCCACTGAGCCTTCCAGGTGGACTCAAAGTACCATCCTACAGGCTCGATTTAATTTGCTGTGTTGCAAACATTAAAGGTGTGGGACTGCCACTATGGTTGTGTTAACGACACTGCCAGTGGTATAAGGACAGCCTGGCTCATGCAGATGAGTGTTTTCTTGCCCCTGCTTCTCTGGACACCTCTTGAGGAAAAATTTCTATCCCTGCTAGAATCTGTCATCTCTACTCTGAATTATTTTGCCTTGGAAAATTAAATGACATTATCCATCATTGAAATGAAAGGTGATTGTTAACCACCTAGGTCTAGATATTATGAATTACCTGTATTATCACATCTCTTGGACACATCGCGGAATGCTATGATTTTACATAAAAGCATAAATTATAGGATGAGAGAGATAAACCTTAACACATATTCTGCAGATTCATAGAATTACACAGCCTGTGACTGTCATTGTATTGAAAATTGATCTTGACTGTTTTTAAAACTAAAACAACTAATTGAAAGCAAATTCACTTTAACTGGTGAGATTCAAGATGAAATTATAGTGGTCATGAATCAAATTTTGTAACAAGATCTGCTAAAATGTCAGTATGCTGATGCCCAATTATTATTAATGACTAAAGTGTCTGATGTATTAATGGGAATCCACATAAGGAAAATAAAACATATATTTTGCTCTTACCCCTAAGTTGTGTCGCCACCATCTATAAATCAGGCAGAATTCGGGAATGTTTTATCCAGCGTTCATCATTAATCAACAGAGTCAACAGTGGGGGGCCACCGTCTTTAGGCAACCCTTTCTGATATGGATTAAGCAAGTCACTTATAGTCATTGGGCTTCCTTCATTCTCCTTTTCATGTAAACCAGAAGGTTGTAGGTAGACCCATTCCTGGCTTCCAGTTTTTTTTTTTACCAATTTGATAGATTCTGTTCTCTGAGGTCTTTTTTTATTATTTTTTTAAATTAATTAATTAATTTGGTTGTGCCGGACCTTTAGTTGCGGCAGGCAGGCTCCTTAGTTGCAGCTCTTGGGCTCCTTAGCTGTGGCATACGTAATGTTAGTCGTGGCATGCATGTGGGATCTAGTTCCCTGACCAGGGATCGAACCCAGGCCCCCTGCATTGGGTGCACGGAGTCTTAACCACTGCACCACCAGGGCAGTCCCCTCTGAGGTCTTCAAAGTTCTTTAAGAGGCACCCAGCACATGGACATTGTGATGTAGAAGGAATAGCATTGCGTAGAGGCAGAACTGGGCTGTGATTAAGAGCTTCCTAGAAGAGAACAGACTTGTGGTTGCCAAGGGGGGCAGTGGGGTGGGGGAGGGATGGATTGGGAGTTTGGGGTTAGCAAATGCAAACTATTATATATAGAATGGATAAACAACAAGGTCCTACTGTATAGCACAGGGAACTATATTCAATACCCTGTGATGTACTGCTATATTTATTTATTTATTTATTTTTAATTTATTTGTTTTTGGCTGTGTTGGGTCTTCATTGCTGTGGCGAGCAGGGGCTACTCTTTGTTGCGGTGTGCAGGCTTCTCATTGCAGTGGCTTCTCTTGTTGTGGAGCATGGGCTCTAGGCACGTGGGCTTCAGTAGTTGTGGCACATGGGCTCAGTAGTTGTGGCATGCAGGCTCTAGAGCGCAGGCTCAGTAGCTGTGGCGCACAGGCTTAGTTGCTCCACAGCATGTGGGATCTTCCCGGACCAGGGCTCGAACCTGTGTCCCCTGCATTGGCGGGCAGATTCTTAACCACTGTGCCACCAGGGAAGCCCCTGTACTGCTATATTCAAAATGGGTAATCAACAAAGACCTACTGTACAGCACAGGGAACTCTGCTCAATGTTATGGGGCAGCCTGGATGGGAGGAGAGTTTGGGGGAGAATGGATATATGTATATGTGGCCGAGTCCCTTTGCTGTGCACCTGAAATTATCACAACATTGTTAATGGGCTATACTCCAATATAAAATAAAAAGTTAAAAAAAATCCTGTGATAAACCATAATGGAAAAGAATATGAAAAAGAATATATATACGTATAATTGAATCATTACGCTGTACCACAGAAATTAACACAATATTGTAAATCAACTTTACTTCAATACTTTTTTTTTTTTTTAAGAGTTTCGTTGAGCCTCAGTGTCCTTAAATGAGAAGCTGGGCTTAAAAGTTCATTGCTCTTCACACTTGATTTTTAAGCCATAGAAATTTTCTACAAATGAAACCTTTCCTGGAATCCCACTATATAAAACCAGTAGAAGTGGAATTGCTCTGAAGTGAAATCCAGAGCCCCACTTATGTGGCTCATCCCCTGCATGCTAGATGGTCATTAATGTTCTTTCCAGTTCAGGAATTCTGTTGTTTGTGTTCATTTCAACTCAAGTTATATTAGTACTAAAGAGGCAATTCATGTGGAAAGGGGACATGATCTGAGACGCTAAATACAGAATGGCAATGAAAAGGCATATGTAAGGGACCTACACCAGCTATAAATCTGAGCTCCACAGTAATTATAAAATTTGTGATTCTTTCCAGGTATTTGTTTACACATAGTCTTATTTTCAATGTGAATATGCTTTTAATGTTCAAAACAGAAGTGAACCTTTTGTACAACGTTGGTTATATCATTAAGTTTATTTATAAGCTGTCCCTGCGCTGTGAGTTTTTACACTGAAACATGTTTTCTTGCTTTTGTTGTAGTACGGAAGAGAAGAGAGTGATTGGACAATCACAGTATCCTGAATGGAAAAGAACAGGCTATCATTTGTGTGTTCTTGGGACAGACTGTTGCATTTGAATTATGAGAAATTTCTTTGGCTACCTGTTTTTAGTTGTGCATAATGTAGTTTGTATTATCAGTGTTTCCAGGGCGATTGTTTCCTCGTGCCAGAGAAGATGAATTGCAGTCATCCAGTGGTAGTTTATAAACTTGCTCCTAGAAGCTTACCTTACCTTCTCTAGAAAGATGAGAATGGAAGCCATCTAAGCGTAGAATTTTCCTCCATAACCTGAGTGCTTCCCTTGGTACTTCAATCAGATAAAAAAGTGTTTATTCTTTAGCATTAAGTTACGTTCTGCTCCTCAACCAAGTGAGTGTTTTTGTGTTTGAAAAGCTGATCTGAGTAAATTTCATAGGTACCATTTCCTGCCACACATCTTCATCCTCAGAAAGTGTTTGTTGTTGTTGTTTTTTTAAATCAAGACTTTGAGAAACTGGATTTCCTCCCCTCATATTTCTTTCCAGGTCCCCTAAGTCCGTCTTAGGGAAAATCTCTCCCCCCTTCCTGATGTCCCGGTCTGCGCCAGGCTCTCCTGGTGCATCAGCAAGGCCCACCCCTGCCCTTTCCACATTGTGTTGTAATCAGCAGTCAGGCTTCACTACAAGACTGAGGGTCTTGTGCCTTATAGATCTTTGTATTCCCCTGCCTGTCACCTAACAAGGAATGAATGAACATGTACCTTCTATAGAAGTGTACCTTCTTTGTTTCTATATTGTGAAACCTCTTTATTAGAATTTGTGATCGATTCTGACTTTGTATTTACCTCATCCAGCAGTTCACATGTGCATGAATATAAACAGAACTGGTGGCACTTAAAATGGTAATGATTAACTTATTTTATTTTTAATTAACAATTTTCATATTGTCTTTATTGGAAGACTGTCTTGGAATTAAAGTAATAGCTCTAGAGAGATCGTGATACCATACCAACCAAATGGAAATGATATATGTTTCGTGTTAAACACATAAATGTTGTGATGAATACAAAATAAATCATATTTAGTTTTTTGATAGAAAGCAAAGAGGTATATACTCTGGATTTTATACTCTGGTTCTATAGGTGCTCATTTCTGTTGAATGGGGATTGGATAAGCACATGGTTAGGGTACAGGGAGAGTGATTATAGATGATATTTTCCTTGTTTAGGAGCCATGAGTTAAAATTGTATCCTGGTTTATCTAGGGGAAAGTCAAATCTTGATAGAAAACATTTACCCTTGGAAGGTCAACTCTCAGACATTATATTTTGGTTTCCTTTAGTCCTAATAACTTTCATCTTGCTGATCATATTTCATGCTCTTTTCAGAGCAAGGAAAAAATTCTAAAAGTTTTGCTGTGCTGGAAAATTTTCCTTAAGGCATTTAGCAGCACATAGCAAATGGGGCTTTGATTCTTTTCCAAGACTTTTGGCCATAGAGTCTTTTTAGATAGGAACGGTAAAATGAAAATGAGGGAAGTATAAGATGAAAAGGAATGGTAAAAATGTCTTTTAGGGGGCTTTTAATTGGCGATCTGAAATCTTGGGAGAGTCTGTTCTTTTTAGGGAGGGCTGAAGTGCTTTAACTATGCTCTGCACAAATTTGTTCACCAAGTAGCATTCTGAGAGTATACATTTGCCTTGGCCAAATCCTGGGACCTTATTTTCAATATTGTAGGCTAGAAATGACTTAAGGTAATTCTAACCTGTCAAGTAGCCCATGATAACCAGACTCAACATTCCTATGAGAAATGGAAATCATCTATTTGCCACAAATACATTTTATACTTTGCATCTCTGAATTAGTATGGCGAGACATGTTCGTTGTAAGAGTTCGAGAACAATATGTCTTGACATTATGTCTGTGTGATTTCTTTCATCAGACCTTAAGAGCATTTTAAGCCCTTTCTACCAGACTCTGTGAAGATGAAGGATATACATTTAAAGAAACAAGGTCTCCTAAAACAGAGGACACAGTCTGCCATTCTCGTTTAAGTAATAAGACAGGAAATTGACCTTGACACTAACTTGTTAAATAGATTTAAAGGGAACATCTGCACATCTCTTTTCCTTGTGCACTATTTGTTTAATTGCAGTGGATTAATACAGCAAGAGTGGCACATTATAACTAGGCAATTATCCATTCTTCAAGACTTAGTTATGGCAACACTAATTGATCATTTAAGGCGTAAGATAGGCTAGCATTAGGAACATGTGAGGCTAATCTGCTCAAAAAGATCAACAAATTAATATTGTTGCTGATATTTGCATAATTGGCTGCAATTAGTTAATGTTTAATTGGGTTGATCAAATGAGATTCAGCAGTTCACATGTGCATGAATATAAACAGAACTGGTGGCACTTAAAATGATAATGATTAACTTATTTTGCGTGTTCTCTTCCTTCCACTTTTTTTTCAGTTTTTACACTTCAGACCAAGTTCATCAGCCTTTTTCAAAACACATCAGTAGAAACCAAGATTTTAAAACGAAGCTTTCAGGCATTAGACAAAACCTGAGCATTTCCTAAAGCTATTCGCTATTAGGAATTTTCTTTGTTACAGTCATTTATCAAGGCTTCAACTCATGATACACCAAAAGAAGAGTCCATTTCAGGGATGTGTATCATGCTCCCCAGAACCTGCAGGACTGAATAAACTAGTAATACCTAATAAAACCTTTACTTTCAAAAGTACAGAGGAAAAGTGAAAGGGAAAGAGGAATAAATGACTGAGAAAACTTGTTAGGGAATCACTTTTTTTTCTACCTGGTAAACACCGTTTATTCTGTTCTCAAAAGATTGTCACGAGAAAAAAAAAAAAGATCAGAGGTAGCAAGAAAGCGCAATGTCACATCGATTCTATAACTTGGCAATGTCAGCCCTCCTGAAGATCTGGGAAGCCTACATTATACACCCTGGGTGAAAACTCTTCATCATATCTAGCTTTCCTGAAATCAGAGTACTCTGGGGCACTTAAAGGCAATTAATGAGTATATCTTGGTCAAAAGAATTGTAGGAACTTTATTAAAGCTTCGGTTTCAGCTCTGCTTTAGGGAGTTTGTGCTATAAAATTAGCTGCCAACATAAGCTTATTTATTTTCCCCTTTCCCACTTAGTGCTCAATCACTGTATTCTTTTTCCTTTAAAAGTTCCTTTTTAAAATTATATGTTCACTTTACCCTTATGATTGGGAAAAATCTATTTTAAGCAGGAAACGACAACATTCATTCACTGTCAATGAGTGATATTTTCTAAAATATTTAGAGCAATAAACATTCATGAGAGGCACTAAAGCTTAGACAGGGGTTAGAGAAACATTGTAAGAGGGCTCTTTGATTTCATGTCCTGATTCTAAATAAGATCAAAGAATTATTCCTTTAATGTGGATTTAGGATATGCAAAAACTTAAGTTATAAATAGTAATCCTGGCACATAATTTTAGTAGATGTTTATAACACCTATCACTTTGTTTTGCCACAAGTAGAATTTGTTCAGCTGTCTGTTTTCCAGATATCTCCTCAACAAGAGGAGGCAGAGAGTACCACTCTCTGAATAAGCATTACTTATTAATTGACGAAGATCACAGAGATTATAGTTAACTGGATCAGTTAACTTGAGAAATGTTGATTGAGTACCCACAAATATGTGTCTAACACAACTCACAGTAGGATTAGAAAGTTAGTTTTAGAAAATAAGTAGTATAAAGACATTACCCTCGTGGAGTTTATACTCTCCTACTTGAAGTTTTAGGTATAAAAGTAATATTTAATACAGTTAGATGATAAGGAGACAAAGGCCAGAGCACACCTCTGTTATTGGTGTGCTATCAAGAAACCACAATAAACATTTTCATCTCATTTTTAAAAGAAATAGTGTCCTTTTTTCCCATTCCTTTCTTTCCTCTCCTGGGAAACTACTCAGTAGATTAGTATTTAGGGGTTCTTGGTGTGAATTACCTCCCGGTTTACTGTTTACTGCTAACCTGATACATTTGTTAACTGCATCCCTTTGGAGCGATGTTAAGTTGTCATGGTTCATCTAACAAAAGAACACCTCAAATTACAGCATCCTTGCTGATCTTAAAGTCAGGTATTATTGAAATAAACAAAATGTTCCTAGAGTGACTTTTTCTGGAAAATGTCAATTATGAATCAAACTGTTGAGACTGTTGGCTTGAAAATGATGGATTACAGCTACTCAGAAAATAGCAGGTGGAAGACGTAACATTAATACAACAGTTTTTCTCAGTTTGAGGTTTTAAAAGAAAGGCCGTTTAAAGTATTGCAAAGAGATTCTTTTTTATCATTGCCAGAAAGTTCTTTTAAAAATACAAAGGTAGAAGAAAGTGATTTATTTTCCATCTTCAGTATACATACCATAGTAAAAAACTTCTCATATTAATTTGAGGAAGTGATAAAGAAACATATCAATAGAATAGAAACATATCAAGTGTTTGGAGGTAAATAATTCCCTGGGATCAGATATATGTAAACATATTTGCTTTAGTGAATGAGAAAGGCATGAAATTCAGTCTTAGCAAATGAGGTGGTCTTTAAAAATCTGCTGGATACAAGTATTGAAGTTTTAAGTAATCTTTGTATACTTTCTGTCTGAAAGTTTGTTTTGCCTACCACATACCGATTAATAAGGTCTAAAACATGAGTTACCTAATGTTCTACCTATGGAACCCACTGCTGGGATGGTAAAAATTGTGAGCTGTGATACGGGAATGAATTTAAAATGTATTATCGTTGACATGTATTTTCTCTACATGTCCACTGTCACAATGGCTAGGTTCCTTGTTACCCATCATTGAATGGAGACAATTTTAACTACAGAAGATGTCAGAGGAAGAACAAATGGTAGTAGAGAAAGTAAGGCAAAAAGTCGAACTTGCTTCTGTGCTGTCCGAGAGAGCTCTTTTTCCTCATTCTGCCAGCCGTCGGGATCTTTCAACATAGGTGCCAAGTACAAATAGTGCCAATTAGAAAGTGACTAAATATAGTGGTCAGCTTATCAGATACTCTTGAGATAATGATCTAACGGTCATGTTGCATGGGAACTACTTTAGATTACTACCAATATGGTTAAGACTTTATACTTGCATAGTCTATAAGACCTATTTTGTCGTTTCTTCAACCATTTTATTTTAAGACCTGTGAAGCTTCTTGAGACTGAATAAAAGAATAAGTGGCAAGGAGTAGATGGTGACTTCTTTTTCCCCTTGGGAATACTATTGGCCACCATCCCCCTTTCCTTGGTGAAGGTTAACTGATTCGGAAATTCGTTGAATATTATCATTTTATTTTTAACTAAAATGTACAACACGCTGCGATTTCCTCAAGCTAATTTCACAATGGTCATTACAGTCATTCTCAGGGTCAAGACGGGAATACAAATAACCTGCCTCAATTTCTACTTCATTGATAAGTGTTTAAGAGTGTTGGTATTCAAGGATATGGCAGTAAGTAGATTCTGAATGAAATTTTGAGGATAAGCTGGCTAATCTGTATGTACCTATAGATTCTGCAGATGGTCCCCTGTTGACGTAAAACAATGCATGATCCCATAGTTAGCCAATAAATGGAGCCTAACCCCCTAGGCTGAAGAATCTGTGCTTACTTGATATGGTGGCTGAGAGAAAAGTAGTGTGAGGAAGTAGTTTTTAAATCAGTTTATAGTTAGAAATGGGAGAATACCAGCTTAACTATGGAATTTTTAGAACGTGTTCTCTTGCATCTAAGCCTGATTGTAATGAAAAAGCCCCAGCCATTGCTTGTCTCAAATTTCTCTGGTTGTGTAGTTATTCTTGAGATTATCTTTAAGGATAATCAAGTAGAAAGAAATAAACATTTTATAAATAAGCCTTGGCTCTCATGAGCAATTGTTGAAAGATTGTGTTAAAAGGATTTAAGCTCACTGAAAGCGTAATAATGGAAATGTGGAAAATATGGTGGGTAAAGGAAACTACCTCATTCTTCGAAGGTTTTGTAGAAGCACAATTAAGCATTCTTAAATGGCTTTGTTACGTATGAACCATCTGGTGTGAAAGAACTGTATTTGTAACGTCTAAAGGACCTGGAATAATTGTATTTTGCTGGCAATAGACATATTCTTTATTGTTCGCAGGTTCCTCATCAAATTATACACTGATTCTGTCATCAATAAAACAATTTCAAGGATTCCTGTTTGTGTAGTCTCTTGAAATCAGCATTGTTGAATGCATAAAATAATAATGCTCAATTACCGTTTTTTTGATGTTCCAAGGTTTTTGGTCATGGGATGTAAATATGGTGTGGTGTTTTTAAACCAAAATGACTTTGAGAGAGAGAAGGAGTTAAGCACACCAGAAAGACCTGAAACCATACCCCTGGCTAGAGTCTAAATATGTCTCATATTTTCAAACATGTGGATAAGAAATTCAATGGGCATTTAAGAGTCGTCCTTTCCTCTGGGATGGATCCGTCTTTAGCAAAATGTAGCCTTGTCTTTTGCATTTTGAGCAGAATAAGGGGAATGGATTACTTCTTCCCATTCACTGTCATGAATCTCACTGATGAAACAACACACACACATATGTGGCTTTAGAATAAAACACAGTATAAAGTGAAAGGCATTCGATTTAAACTTAGAGAACATCAATGATGTGTCCTTTTCGTCAAACAGTAATGTGTATAAATTACTCTCATGAGCACATATCTTTGAGAGAATAAAGCCAGATGCAGTATCTCTGAGGGTCACATATTTCCTTCATTTTCTTGTGATTTGTCCCAACAATTGCAAGTGCAGCAAAACCTAAGCCTTCTCAAGGAGTTACTGTAAACTGAACTTAAAAGTGTCAAAGTGCTCAGTGACCCTCTTCTTCCGACCCTGCCAACCTGTGAAAATATTGGCCTTTATCAAGATTTTTATCAAGAAGTTATGTGCAGTTTGGAAGGTCCAGGTGAAGGTTATTAGTCAAGTTCTCTGACAGTGTCAATGCTCAAATCCCACAAGAGCGACAAAGATAGACCTGTCATTCCTGCGGGTGATGACATACATTCACTGGAGCTTATATGATTTATCAGATGAGACAGCAGTCTCCTTCAGCGTAGAAAGTGTCTCTTCTACATGGGTTTACTAACAGAAGCCAAAAAAAAAAAGCGGGGAGCGGGGCAATTTTCAGCCTTTGTAATTATTTTTCTGTTACATTGATTCGATTTGATCTTAAGCATATTTTTTGAATCAAGAATTGATTCCACATACATGGCCTTTCATAGGTGCTTGACACCATCATATCTTTAGATGAAATGTTCTATGGTAGCCTGACACTACTTAAAATTGTGACGACTTGTAGAGTCACTCCTGTAACCAACAAACCCACAGCCAACACGTAGACTCTTCTGTGTGTATAGAATCATCACTGGGCTTGTTCTCTAACTATGTCTTTTAGGCAGCAAGGATAGTTTTGATGGAAACCCATGGTTCCTTCTCTCCAAAGGTCGTCATCAGGAAGTCAATAGGATTTTTGAAAAATTACAACCCTAAAGAGGTGGGTAGAGTGTAACACAAGAGCTTCACTTATGAAAACATTTTAGAGTTGCAAGATTCAGGCTGATTGTATCCTAAATGCAATATACCTATTTTTAAACTGAACTGATTGAATTAAGAGATTAAATTGCATTGATTTCAAGATAGTTACAATAATCTAGTAAACATGTCTCATCGATATCCATGATAATGATACGCAGAGGTAGTGCATGCTTTTCTCCGGCACCCTCCAAGCCACAGCTGGATGTAACGAAACCTCTTGCTGTGCAGGTTGCCTAACAAGTAATGGTTGAGAGCCACCCACTGATCCTTTGATCTTCAACTAGCTACTTAAATTAGTGAAAAAATGGAGATCCTTGTAGTACCAACCTCATGCATTACAAAGATTAATGAGTTAATATTGTAAGGCGCTTACAACAGTTCATGTGTAAAGCTGATGAGATTTGATTAAAAATAAGAGAGTGAACACAAAGACACAGGGGCTAATAGATACTTCACCATATACTGGTGAAGAAGCTGGGATCAGCCCCTCCCTCTAAGCCTGGGGGGGGGGGGGGGGGGGGGGGGGGTGGAACGTCCCAGATCCAGGGTGCAAATACTTGCTACAGGACAAGTGGCATCATCTAGCTCCCCTAACTGCATAAGGTGAGTTTAGAAACGTGTGATCTGCTCAAGCCTGGAGATAAAAGCCGTTAAGCAGTGGTTGGTAAAATTATTGAGAAGTAATCAGGTGTTTTCAGTTTTTAGAAATACAAATTGTTTCATGTTCCACATGAATATAACCATGATGGTTAATTTCATGTGCCCATTTGACTAGGCAACGGTATCCAGTTGTTTGGTGAAACACTAGCCTAGATGTTGCTGTGCAAACAGTATTTTTTTTAATGCGATTAACTTTTTTTTTTTTTTTTTGGCTGTGTCATGTGGCATGTGGGATCTTAGTTCCCCGACCAGGGATTGAACGCACACCCCCTGCATTGGAAGTGCGGAGTCTTAACCACTGGACCGCCAGGGAAGTCTGTGATTAACGTTTAAATCAGTAGAATTTGAGTAAAGCAGATTATTCTCCCTAATGTGGGTGGGCCACATCCAATCATTTGAAGGCCTTAAGTCATGTTATATATTATACATAAATATTATATAGGTTCTGTATACATTGGTTCTGTTTCTCTATAGAATCCTGACTAGTACAACAATGAACAACATTCTTAACACTCTTACTTATAGTTCCCTCTTCTAAGGAAGAAAATCATGTGCTATATTATTTCCTTTTGACTCTGGTGTCTTACCTAAGGCATGCCTAGCTTTCAGAAAATTGTTCATTGCATAAGCCACCGGTGATAGTTTGTTCAGAATTCCAGGACTAGCTACGTTATACAACCCAAACTGACTAAATGAAGGCAGACCTCACCAGTGAAATTTCAGGCATCAGTGAGGAAAATATTTTTTAGTGTTGGGTCATGAAATACCCCATAAAATACTGTTAGCTTAGTGTTTCTTGCCTGAATCGATGTCCTTAGAATGCAATGAGGCCGAAAGTAGATGGTAAGAACTCCCTTTTTGGTATAATTAAGGGATGGGGTTATTTTGTCAGGTGAGCAGTCATCTTGGTGGCAGAAATCAGTTTCACAGACCCACTAGGCTACAAGGGTCATCATGGAGTCGTCTGGACCGTGCTGACCTCACACAGCACGGCCACCAGGTCCAACCCCATACTTACCGATGCTCTCACTACCACTCTCAATTTAGGAATCATCTTTGTAGTTGTCTGGACTTTTATTTACCTACCTTCCCCATATATTAAAGTTATATTTTGCAAGACAGTCTTTGTAAACTCCTGAGTAAAGAGAACCAATCGGTCTGCTTCTCCAGTGATATTTGACAAGGCAATTTAAAGGCAATAAGAAGCCAAATGAGGTTGAGTGATGGGGACAGAGAACATCCAAAATACTTCCTCATCAGTTTGGTTTTTGTCACATGAGAAGGTGATTTCATATTTCCTATGAGAAGAAATGGCATATTTCTTGGGCTGGCTTTTGCCATAAGCACGAGGTTAATGTTTGCATTTTCTGCAAGAGTAGTCCTCCGCCCCAGTTTAATGCAAACTCTCTCTCTCTCTCTCTCTTTTTTTTTTGGCTGTGCTGAGCAGCATGCAGGATCTTAGTCCCCCAACCAGTGATTGAACCCGTGCTTCCAGCGGTGGAAGCTTGGAGTCTTAACCACTGGACTTCCAGGGAAGTCCCTGCAAACTCTCTTTAATGTCAATAATTCCAACACACTTCAACAGTTATTCTCATGACTATTCACTGACTTGAATGGCTAGTATTCAGCTGAGCATATGAAGGCCACAGATGGTTCTACTCTCATCCTTCCGCGCTCATCTAGGTGACCATGAGAACTTATAATTTTTTATGTCAACGGTTGCCTCTACCACTTGACCGATAACTCTTCAAAGGATTACATCTTCCTCATTCTCCTATCTTCTCAGAGCAAAATTCTTTAATCCTATTATATAATCAATCCTATTATGTAATTGTAAACAGTGGCAAATAACAATGACAATCATATAAGCAGAAACAAAACCTCACATGAAAAAGAAAACTTGGCACCAAAACTCAAGATGTAAAATAAGACAAGAAAAAGAAACTCCTATCAACATACTCACGTGTGGTGCTAGAAAATGTGCAATGGTGCACAGCAGCTGACATGTGTTATCTTACAGATGCAGCCTACACTGACAAGTATGTATTAAATATGATTATGTGGTGTGTATTAAACACCCTGTGTAGTGCTCAGCATCTAGGAGGTACACAATATTTGTCAGCTCCACACTTTTTCTTGAAGCACCACTTAGCTCCAAGTATTGAAGACATCTCATCTGCAGACTTAATCTCACCTCATTCATGAGTTAATTGGAAACAGGTCTGATAGTACATTAACAGCAGAAATTCAGAAGCATGAAATGAGCTTTGCTGTCCTAATCCCAGCATCTGGTGTCTCTTGGATGAGCCCCTGGATCCCACTGCGCTTTCTCCCTAACCCTCAACCTGCATGTCCATCCATCCTGATTGACTGGATTTCTGCGCTGATACAGTTCTTTGTAAGAATCACCCTGCTCACAGCCTCAGCCCATCTGACCGGGGCCCAGCCACTGCCTCAAGCTTGGACATCGTCTCTTCCTACCTAGACATAGACTAATCCAGTTTCCATCCAGATTGACTCCTTTGGAACAAAATCACTGCCTATTGCTCGATTATGATGATTGCTGGACCCCATCAACCAGACTGTAACCATTCATTATTGAAAATGACCTTGATTAGACCTGAGTTTGCCAAAACCCATGGACAAGGTAATTCAGGCTGAGCCCTATCTCCCCCATCAGGTGGCATCTTGCCTGGCACTGTTTTTGTCTGCCAGCTTGCTCTTGATCTCAACTCGCAAGAGCTCCTTCTTGGCCCAAAGAGACATAAGCATTTAGCTTTGAAAATCATCTTAGCTTCCTGTTGCTTGGGATTAATTTAATTTATTGTTTTTAGAGAGTGACTTTTAAAATCTAAAACAACTACTGGATGAGTTTCGAAGTTATCTAAAACCTCACTACCCAAAGCATCGTTACTAGACGAACAACATGGGCCTCCCCTAGGCACTTGTT